GAGAGAGAGAGAGAGAGAGCGCGCTCAGGATGGTAAAGGGATTCTAGCATAGGGCTCGCGGTAGTTTATGCTTCTGAGATATGAGGGCTCTTAGGGGTTGCGAAACAGTTTAGGGCGTCGTTTTTTGTTGAATGTACAGGCGGCTGCTTAGAACGGGATCTTGCCGTATACTCTTTGGGCATACTCTGAAGCACACTAGAGTTATGTAAGGATTGTACTGGGATGATATTGGGTACTTACGCTCTTGCAGCACGGTTCGGTGGAGGCGTTTAGGTTTCCACATTTCCCCTGATGCTAAAAAGTCGTAGGCCTTCGAAACTCGCAGCAATCCTGACGCTGGCGTTTTACGCGTACTCTAGGGATCCAAATAACCCAATNNGTAGATAATATTTACAGACTTTGGGGCCCAGTGTAGGTATTATTTGTATACTTGGATCGCTAGGGTTAGGCTTGTCAGGATTTTCCGTGATTGATTTTGAAGAGGCGACTAAAGAATGTGATCATCTGTCGACCCTCACTCTTAGATCTTGGGTGGAGGAATGATGAAGAACATCTTCCACGCTGGGCAGGTGCCTATGGCATATGGCAATATGGCACCCTTCTCACATCATTGCATTGTTTTTGTAGGGCACAATCGACCTTACCGGAGCAGTCGTCAACAATAAGGGTACCAACGCCGCAAGGCAAGCAGAGAAAGCCAAGAATGAACTTGCATGGAATTCACAAATATGGACAATAAAATGAAAAACCCGGTGGAAAATGGGATACTACGGTGGTTTTCAGGATTTGGGTTCTCATTTCTTGGAACTATATGAGCAGTATCTACCACTAGTGGACCACTAGGATGTGGAGGCTTTCCCAGGCAGAAGGGACGTAGGTACCTTGCACCACACAAACTTTCACCTGACTGTATGAACCCTGGACTAATTAAAGTTGTAGTATAAAGATCCACCCTAGACCTCTATACGACCCCTTGTGGGTAGCCCAGCCTACCGCTAGTGAGGAGATATGAACCCAAGCATCAGTGTCATCCACCACCACGCGCGTCCACATGGCAAAGCCAGAGAACCGGCAGCTCCCATTCCTGGATTAGCGTTTAGGGTTTAAGGTTTAGGGTTTAAGGTCGGAAGTATTGGGCCCTCAGCCTTTGAGGGGGTTGTTAGGAACTCTTCAGGTTACATATAGGATATATACTTGGCGTATACGGACCACAGAATTCAGGGCTCATACTAGGCGCCCATGTAGGGTTACAATTTTGGATTTACCTACTCATGGTTGGTCATCGGCATCATAATACGGGTCCGGCTATATGCATGTAGGCCCCTACTACATACTAAGCACTAGGGCTCGGGTTTGTGGATGGGGGATAAGCTTACTACTCTTAGCTTCTTGACATGGGAAAGGGGTGGGGCCCAATGATGGAAGGATGAGTTTAAGATAAACCCTAGCAAGCCACAGATCGGGAGGGATTCGAAGGCTATTGCTTTTTAGGATCTTCAAGTTTTCAGCAGCGTACAGTCCGAAACCACAAAAACTGATAACTGGTGGAGAGTGCAGATTCGGATCCACTTTGAACTCGAGCGACTTCTGCTGCTGGCGGGATGTCTCAGATTCCGTGCTACCTCGGCAGACGACCCTAACTCTAAGGCCATATAGAGGTATCGGCCCGTAAAATGGGCCTTTAGGCCTTTGGAAAGAGTCTAGGCACCCTGAAAGGGACATGTAGGGTATCTAGTAGGTAGAAGGATCCCAGGGCTAAGAGCCCACGGGAGGGGCCCATGATTTCAACCTTAGACTAACGTACAAGCCTGAACCTTTCAGAAGGCTATCGCATGCTATCACCTCGTGATCCACAAGAATCACCCTGACCTATTCCCAAGTTGTCACTCGTGCACCCTTGCACTACATTTACCCCCTAGCCCTACATAACTCTCTGAAAGAAGCCTTTTTCGGATCGTTTAGGCCTGTGCATGATGGCAGGCCAAAAACTTGAGACTTGCCGTGTTGGGCTGGTTCGCTAAAATCTTACTTTGCAGGGCCGGGTCGGGTGTCTATTGCAGCTAGTTGTTGGGGCTACCTTGTTTGCGGTAAGCAAGAAGACCTTGGCTTCCAGAATTGAACCCTGAGGATATAAAGATCCTAAGGCTCCATGTAGGTACTATTTATAGGGTTTAGGGCCCAATGTAGGTATTATTTATAGGGTTAGAGCCTCATGGTAATCCTGTTCTTGAATTACTTGTGGTTTGTTGGAAAGC